CACCCTGCGTATGTCCGAACTTATACGTAGACACCCTGCATACGTGTGTATTTTTTTTACAATACAGATTGTTATGCTATTTCTACTTTATTGTTGAATCAATTCAGTTGTTTTTGGATTTGCTATCGGAGTGGAACTGGTTTAAATGTAGCGGAGGAGAGGTAGGAAAGTTACAAACCAAACGGGGATTGGAAGTGGATTGGACGTAAAACCAAAAGTTGGAATGGTTTTGGAGCATACAAATGTGCATATGTCTCTATATACACACATCCAAAGAAAACGATTTTAAATTCTATTTTGCCATCTGGCTGTTAAATGGGAATGTAATAAATACTTCAAACGTCATAATAAAACTTTGGTTTGTACAGGCAAGGAAAATGATTAATTATTCTAAACATTAACAAAATTGTACACATTCTATGTATTTGTCGCAAATTGAAGGCGTAATGATATTTGAATATCCACAATTGTGTAAAAAGAAATCTACGTTACCCTTTCTGTTAAAATTTAGAGATAATGGTGATCATGTATTTAGGAAAACTTTATTATTTTGTCAAACAGTTTCAGTAAATCACATGATATTATATTACAGAATTATGGGTATCGAGAGTGACAACAATTATTTCCAATTACAAATTAAAATGATTCCATAAATTTTATATAGTCATGAGACAAATTCTAATAATGTGATGTTTGGAATTAATGCTCAACATGGGGCTGGTAAAATAACAAAGTATAGATTTATAAGGAGTAAACGATGAAACCGCAAATATTTATAACTGATATAAAGGTAATTGAACTTCACCGAGCCTAAAATTTCAGCAAGCCATTTCTAAAGCATCGAAACAAACTGCAAGTCCAATGCTGGGGTTGTAATCAAGTCTAGATGGTTCGTACTGATTGACAATTTTCCATGGCCTCTTCACCCTCCAGTACCCTTTTCTACCATCACCGCCCCTCACACTATCCATCACTTCAATACCCTTTTGAAATCACGTTTCGTTTCTGTTGCACGTAAAGCCGCGTTCATACCGATCGTTACGGATACAGCAAAATTGTTATACAGATCAACTGGAATAAAACCAGCTTGCCCAAATCAAAATCAATTAAATGATTGAATGTTAAGTAATTTGCAAATAAATTACGTTTGCCGATACCGACGGAATATTGCGAAGTGACGTCCGATAAACGAAAGACAAACAAAAAAAGCGGAAGAAAGTATTATAAATAAAGGAAACGTAATTGAACTTTTTTTTTAAACGAATTGATGATAATAACAGCGATTTAAAAGAAATTGAAAAATTAGAATATTAACCTTTTCGGTACTCTGCGCGAGTATACTCGTCAAATTATTTTGTTCTTGTCGTGCTCAAGACAAGTTAAATCGCATCAGCTTATTGTTAATGAGTTAATGAGTTAACACGTCTTGATCTCTTTTCTATTTAAAAAGCTCATGCGATTTAACTCGTTATGAGCACGACAAGAACAAAATAATTTGACAAGTATACTCGCGCAGAGCACCGAAAAGGTTAATAGTAAGGTAAAATATCTCTATTCAATGTATACTTTCATTTCTGGAAGTTTTTGTAGAATACTGTCCTCGATCGATTTTTATAGAGACCATTCGTGTTAAACTTTCCACGCCGCTAGTATTTATTGAAATGAATGGAAAGAATTAATAAATAGATCTTCGATACACAAATAAATAGTCTTCGAATTATGAAATGAAACTGTAAAGAAGGCAACAGTTTGTTCTCTCTATTTTTTCCGTGATATCTTTAAGTATAATATTGTAATAAAGAAATTTGAAGTGTTTAAAATTTAGGAAAGTATGACTAACAATAAGGCAAACAAGAAGAAAGTTGACGCATCCTGTAATTTGTAAGTATGAAATTTGACATCGTTTAAAATTCTCCTAACATGGAAATAAAATGGTATTTAAAAATGGAATCTTTTCAATGACAGTTGTACGGGTTACACGTGGGTGAGAATGTCCATTTAAAAAATTCGAACACGCCAGCTTTCACGTTTTCTCTGATCCACTAAATAACAACAATAAACGATCACAAAAATGAAAAACATGTTACGAAAAACGATCAAAAATCGAAACAAATCTTGATCCCAGCTTTATTTTTCGTTCTTTGTTTCCCCCACTATTCGTACTTCCTGTACATGAACAAACGCTAAAAAAAAACTTCTGAAATGTTCAAAAATGAAAAAACTGTGAAAAGAATAACTAGAGGTTGTTGCAGATAGTGTATTTGTTGAAAAAAAGAATACATAAATATTTGGAATTAAGCTATTTTGAAATACTGACCACAAGAAACTGTGCTGTTTCCTGTCGAAGCGATATTTGAACGCGTTACTTCTATTACATTTGGAACGGAGCAGAATACTTTTCGATATGATAAACATCGGATATTGGAGTCGGGGATAAAAATGTATAAAAGGAAATGCAATGTAATTAAAAAATACATCTCTAAGAGAACTGATATCGATATTGCATTTTATTCCAGTACGATCGGTATCAGCTCTTGTGTAACGAAGTTACTGGAAATGAAAATATAAGACAGAACGGAACAGCAGGGTCTGGAAGCGGCTTAATAGAGTCAAGTGCCGGACGAGAAAGAACGAATAAGAAAGAAAAAGACGAGCTGTGTCATCTGAAAATTGGAATATTCGTTCGCTCGATGGCAACCTCGCTTACTATTCGTTTAGGGATTGGTGTACAATCGAACGTTCTATATTTTCAGTCTGAGAAGATTAAATATGACGAAGTCAATTAAGGATGGCGTATGCTTTTATTCGTCAAAAATGAGTAGTAAATTAATGAATATAAATGCAAATGATATCATGAATTGTTAGTTGTAAGTTGTGCAGATACTTTTCACAACGGTTACACTTCTGATGGTGCTGTATTAAACTTCAGCAGTAAGAAGTAAGCTTAGAGAAAACGTCTTCAATACTGCTAAAATGTGGAAACTAAAGTCCACAGGACTCTAAGTATAATATAGTATACAGAGTAAGTCTCGTAAACTGTTACAAGCTATTTTCGCGGAAACTATTACTGATATCGACAAGTTTTTTTTAATATTCCCTGGTACGATAGACCCTATTAGGAACGTTCTACATTTTGAAATGGAATGTCATATAATTAACTTCCCGATTTATAGGAAATTTATTGTATTTGCCCTTAAAATGAAAAATCGATTTTTTAGCAGATCTCCATGTTTCAACGTCATTGGAGTAATTTTAGCCCATCTTTAACAAATTGTTCGTGTGTGTGTGCGCGTATGTATGTACGTATGTAAACAAATTTTTCGTTAACGTTTTTCAAAAAACTAATAGCGAGATCAAAATGATCGATGATGCAATCGATGTGTATCAATTTAACTTAGAGCTGATTAGATTTTGTTCTAATTTGGTTCAGTAGTTTTCTAGTTTTTTTAAGAAAACTTAACTCAATAACGCAATCTAGATCGAAGAATATAAATTTATGAGCGAATAACTAAACGGAAATAATATATATACATATATTACTGTTATTACATTTGTATGAATATGTATAACACACGTATATATACATACAGGGTGCTCCAAAAATATGGAAACAGTTAAATATTTCCAAAATGGAACATTTGTGAGAAAAACGGTTTAGAGAAATGTTTTAGGATTTCAAAAATTCTATTGAACGGGCGTGTCCATTTGACCTTTAAAGGACCGGTCAAAGTAACGTCAAGGTCAACATGATTTTTTTAACGGAACACCTCATTTTTTATTATGCACTGTGAAAGCTGGCTATGAAACCTTTTCAAAACACTAGTTTCAAACATATTTTTTATTCGTGATAGATGGCGCTGTAATCGGAAATCGGGAAGTTCCTTGTGTGGCCCGTAAAAGGTCGCACACAAAATAAACATGAATATCTATATGAATTAAGCGAGCAACAATAACCAGCTAGTTTTTGTTTTGTTTTGGATAGTCCTTTTAATAATGAATAATGTTCATTTCTACAATTTTTTCAGAACTTATAAAAGTATCTACGGAAAAACATAAAGCAAGACACGGAGATTCACACCCACGATCCTCGGATCCGCAGTCGACCGCTTTACCCACACGACTAATCCCGTACCCTACGTTTCGTGTTCTTGTTTGACTCCTCATTGTTGGATATGGGAAGCACGGATACTACATACTTTATGAAACATGACAAAAGATATCGTTTGTGAAAGAACTGCAATGCAAGGTCCAAATATAGTAATTGTAACGTTTGATGTTTTTAAGAAAGAAAAGGAAGGGCTTGTGAAATTCGAAGTTTCGATAGCGCAACAATAATCAAAAATTAATTGATCTACAACAATTATTCGCAAGTGCTGTTCTTCTAGCTAATCAAATGTATGTTACTGTCACGTTAACACGTTCACGAGTCAAGGGTCACTGTGCCGATCTTTCCGATAAGAACACAAGAAAGCAGTAACGTACACGCAGCTCGGTTTTCTGGAACAAAGTCTCCGAATTTTGTGTTACGTTTAATGTTCAAACAATCATCTTAAATATTCAACATACAACTTTACGTAATCGAATTACATTTTGTAGTATATACCATCGATACATATATCACTTTAGTTCCATATGCATTTCTAGTACAATTATTTATCAAAACGATTTCATTCCGCTTTTATGTTACAGTATATAAATACATACACTTATAACACATTATGTAATTCAATTGCATTTCGTAATTCATATTTTCGATACATTTATCTATTTTGTTCCTTATGCATTTATGATATAATTATTTACCAAAACTATTTGGTATCATGCCATTATTTTATAACATATACACACACTTTTGTCGCAAATTTTGTTTTCGTTATAAGTAACGATCAACTTAAATACCAACAATAAGTAATATTGCATTTTGACAGGCATCGCTAAAGTTAATTTGTGACACAGCACTGTACTATACGAAATGCGTCGTTGTGTAATCATTGAGAAGCTTCAGTTTGAATCGGCAGTGGCTGTGAGGTTGTCTAGCAAATCAGTTTTGTGCCATTGTTTCTCATTTCCAGTTCCTAACTATGCGATTACTATATAAAACGGCTCTACTCCGTAGGTTTACATAATGATTATTTACAGTTTATCCTCTTTCTTGTGCAAGGAATGTAGACACACTAAAGTAGACAGGGCGTTGTCGAAGTTTCTATAAGAGAAAATAGGAAACATCGAAAGAGAAAAATGTTGTAATAATGTTATCGAGACTTTCTATTTTGTAATCGTATTTTTCCGACGAAGCAGAAACAGACTCGTGAATTACAATGGCAATTATTTTTATTAGGAGCTACTATAGCTATTGTATCATAAATATATCAGTAATCTCTATTTAAATGTTTCAACCTCTGAAGCACTCAAATAATTATTATAATTTATATAATAGAATTTAACCAAAAATAACAATTGTGACTCGGTGATTTTTCATGTGACAGCATTTTCTTCTGGCAATTTTTTCTATTGTCACTTACGAGAAAATAAAATAGTTGCTAGAAAAGAAAAAAAGGCTTGTTCAGTTCAATTCTATCGTCGGTAACAAACAATAATGTAAAGTATAACGTTTATTAAAATATGGTATTTTGTATTTAGTACTCGTAGCTGGCATGGTGTATAGTAATACGTCCTCCAAAATAGAACCTACTTGCGATTGCACATATTGTTACAATAAAAACGAAAACGATACGGAATATGAAGATGAACATATAACACCAAAGTTATACAAAGAAGACAGCGATGGCGACGGCAATCGAACCATTTGTGCACGAGATCGCGAATTCAATGATCGCACCTTTCCGAGCGTTTGTCATATGTTGTGTTACAATCGCTGTCTGATTCTACGACTTTCGACTGTTAAAGACAGTAAAACTGAGATAAATGTGGTGATCGCGTTCAGAAACAGTAAGTAAAGATAATAAATCTTGATATTTGTTCGTTAATCAGCTAATATTATTAAATCTCAGATTACTATAAATTGCGAGACGGTAAATGCTGAAATATTCTCTTTGGAGATAACAATATCTATACGACGATACATAGTCCACGCGAAGAAAAATGTACTATAAGGTTAGTAGACATTTTACGAATTATTGTTTATCGATATATATTTAGACCTTTTTTCTTGACCTCTGCGTGCGAATGTTTTAATAATTAGTATGCAGACGAAACTAGTTTTTTTTAAATGTACACTTACGGTATTTGTAATTCACGTGCTATATTTTTATAAATATTTAATAAATAGAAAAAATCGGTAATTATTTACGTTTATATACATTTAACGATTTTTTGTGTGTTTAAGGTGTTTAAGCTTGATATACAATATAGAACTACATGCATAGAACTACAGTCTAAATATGTATAAGATGTTTCAATACAACGTTTAAATGAATAAACAACTATAATTATTAGTTTTCTTTTATTTGTACGTTTGCGTGTATGTGTGTCAGTTATTATATGTATTGCAAACTTGCATATTACATTGAAGAATTGCTAATTTAACTTAGTCATTTGTTTTCATTTAAAATTCAAATTATCTAGCAGTGAGACTATTAGCATAATCCTGAGTTTGTAATATCCTGAGTATATAATAAGTACATACTCGCATATTACGTATACATATATGTCGGTGATCGATATCGAACTGAAACTCGATAGATTGTAGTGAGGAGTCAAAGTAGTTTAATCGAGAAACAAGGGAAGAAACGGAGTGAATGCAGGCGAGAAGAGAAACAAAGAAGATAAGAAAAACGTAAAACCGAGAAAAGCATTGATATAAGCAAACGATTTGTATTTAATTAATCTTTTACGAAGCATAATTACAAAATATAAGCAGATTAACTGTATTCAATTCCTCCTTACGAAATATACATGCATGCGTAATTGAACTCGTATAGCGGTTCATGAAGTTACCGTTAGGGTGCGTACGCGATGTAGGGGTTTCTCGCAGTCAAAAGCGTGCACTATTGACCACAAGTTTCAGCTGGAAGGGAAGGAAAGCATACTTACCTGGCGTAGAGGCTACCGTGATCATGAAGGCGGTTCCTCCAGGGTGAGGCTCTTTCATTGCACTACGGTTGAGCTGACCTCTGCGAATATCCCTAATGTGGATATCTCGGACGTACAATTTTTGATAGTCGGGACTGCGTACGCGCTATCCCGGATAACTTATTTATAAAATTAATCAATTTTTTAAAGGTTTACAATCACATTACACCTATTTATTTGAGTTTATTTAGTTTTCTTATACTTCTTTTTTTTTTCTTAATTCGGTTTAGATTTATCATGTTCAATGTTGTCTTTTCTCTTTACAAGATGAAGTTACTAATTATTTGATAGTTGCAAGAATTGTACGATGGAATTAGCAAGTTTACAATTACATCTATTTTAGAATTTGTTTCTATTGGCAGAACCACTACAGAAGTAGTAGACTCAGATAACGCAGTTTCTACTGTAGATCCTGAATGAAACCAATCTTTTAGCGTTCTGTTTCTGCTGTCAGAAACAGCAGACAGGCGAAGACATGCACTGTACAGCATCTGCTCGAGCAAGTTTTGCCTAAAAGAGAGTATATCTATAATAATATTAATTACTTTAAATATTAATACGCCTGTTTTAATAAATCATATATATTACAAGTATACAATGTATGTTTTTATACACTTGCATTTGTTCCTAAGATTGAGATCTTCCTATTTCTCTATAACTTTTTATATTCTAGAATTTAGGTCCGTTATTTTTCATACATTGCGTTTATCAGAATAATAATGTTCTATAGTTGCAATGTCGTACACACAAAGCGATTAAATATTAGCTTTGCATCTCGCTCGTTTCCGAACCCAGTGTCTAACATGTGCATGCACCTATAATATTAATGATTCCAGTTCTAACGAATATTTTGAATATTAATTCGCGTATCAATGCTAGAGCTAATAGCCACGTTTATTATATACTGCAAACTGTAGGAATTAAGAAATTTAGACTTCGATGTACTTTAATTAGTGGAAGACGAATAAGTGCACTTTCAGTAATTCAAGATTTAATTAACGGAAACGAATATGTTATATTTTCATATAGAAAAAACAATCAAAAACAATCAAAAACTATCGAAACAAATGATGACAACTTACTGAATATGTATCAGTTTATTTAACAAGTTTGTTAATTAATACTGTTATTAACTTGTACTACTTGTAATTTATTGTACAGGTTTATTTAATATATATAAGTTTGTATACAAAATTTGATTCTCTCTAAGATTGGTTCAATACGTGTTGTAAAATGTTTACATGTTCAATTAGAAATGAAAAAACCAATCCTATTCACGGCGCGGCGAAGAGAGCCAACGATCGAAGCAACGTTTTAGTTCCGAAAGTCGCCGTTAGGCTGCGCGAGAACCCACCGAATTCTCGCAGTTATAACTGCACGCTGAGCGCTTAAGTAGAAGCGGCGAGAGAAGGAAAGCATACTTACCTGGCGTAGAGGTTACCGTGATCAAAAAGGCGGTTCCTCCAGGGTGAGGCTCTCCCATTGCACTACGGTTGAGCTGACCTCTGCGAATATCCCTAATGTGGATATCTCGGACGTACAATTTTTGATAGTCGGGACTGCGTTCGCGCTATCCCGGACACCAATAATTTACTAAAGTTAACCTATGTTAAATTACAACTTTCTAATAATCGACACATCTTCCTTTATTGTTAATAAACTTGGTCTTTTAAAATCATCTTTCCTTCCATCCTGCGTTAGTTACTTAAACTTCATTTTCGAATTTGAATTTATTTAAAAATAATATCATATGATTATTTTATAAAGTAGTCAACTATTCCTTGTTTGTAATACTAGTAAAGTTTTGGATTCTTCACATAGTTGACAATTTCAGATGATCTGATATAATCATGTTTCATATAAATTTTTATAAATGAAAAATAATTCGAGCCATAAAAACTTGTAATATAAATTATACATTAAGTTAACTCAGGTATCCTGATTTTTTTATTTTTCCTTTTCAAGCATACTTTAGCTTCGACAAGCGAAAGGTAAAGCATACCTTTGTATATTACTCTACAAAAAGGGCAAGTTCGTGACCTTATTTATTTGTAGGTAACTTGCTAGAATTCATTAACACAAATACTTAAGATTTCTAAACAGAACGATGATTAGAAGGATACAAAACTGACATTAGGTGAAGCACAATCGGCAGTTTTCAGTTGAACAATACATAAACCACCTGGCCCGTTTAAGCATCCGTGTGAGAGGCTGTCGAGCGCTCGAAACGTGTTGGAAGTTAGAGACCAGCCCGGGTGGCTTGGCAATAGTTGATGCAAGTACGAGGTGGCTAGCGGGGCGAAGGAAAGGAATTAAACAGACGCAGAGTCTTCGCAAATTGAGTTGAACGGGCCCGGAATTTAGACATTCAAATTAACCTATTTAGCAAGTCGGAGAGGTAATGTGTCCTCGTTATGCAGCTTCTCAGACTCTAATATTTAATCGATTTCGATGCATTAGTTTAATCGCTTTTTTTCATCCACGTGCTAAATTCGGATCCAGAACCTGCAGCTCTTTTGCATGTTATGCCAATTACGGATCTTCGTTGACGATATACGTACATATACGTTTATTTCGATTTATTAAAATTAAAAAATCGTTACATTTAAATTCTTTTTATCGGTTTATCCATCGTTCTCGTTTATTTTCTTGTTTGATTCGTAGATAAACCGCGGAAAGAAAGCATTTTAAACTTTTACAGAGCCTTAATTTTCATATTACACGTATAGTGAGAGCACCATAGGAGATGGATAACCTTACTTTATATCAAAACATAAATACTTTCGCAAAAGTTTTGTCACCGCATTGAAAAAGTACTGGCCAACTTCCCTCCACTTTTTACCTGCGCAAAGCCTTGATGGCCAATCAGAAAATTAACTTTCAGCAAGACTTGCAAAAATGAGTTCTACCATCCAAAAAATAATTGACAACTTTAAAATAGCTTGTGTAATGAGTTTGAGAGATATCGTGTGCATTATGTATGCGACTTGTAAAGGTATAGATGATAAAAGTAGAGCTCTCGCCTAAAATACGTACAATGCGATACACGGATACACGTGTCACGTGTATCTAGTTTAAACGTTTACGAGACACCGATATCTGAAAACACGTGTGCTAATTGCACACGTACACGTGTAATTAATAAATTTGTATTTTTTTGTGTGCAATTTATTGACTTTAAAAAATAATTCAGAATAATTATAACCGTAAAATACATGTGTATTTACTGCACGGATTTCTACACGACATTACGTGTTACACGTGAAACCCGTGTACATGCGTACACGTATAAATGGGGACTCTAGGTAAAAGTTTTAGGTACATTTCGACTTCCAGAGATCGTAATAATAAAATAACACATATGTGGCAAATAATTTCAGTTAAAATAATATCATATTTCGACCCGTAGAGGTTTTCACAGCGGAAAAGGAAGGGAATGAACGAAATTACATTGTTACAGAGGTTCAACTGCATTAATGAAAGTGCTTTTACATTCAGTTAATCATGGTTACGTTGAATTAACATTACCTTTGTTGTAGGTAATACGTTTCGTGTTACTGTTCTACAATGCTACCTGTTCGCGAAGCAGTGCATAAAGGTACAGTGTGCTTATAAATATGTAAATGTCTTCAAAGCGGATGTCACTGATCGCTTCATAGGAAGGCCAATAAAACTAGGTAAAACAGGATCCAATAAAATCCGTACTTCTGAATCGCATGGATGTCTGCTTTAGCTGGCATCGAGTAGTAGTTACAAATTTCTATAGTTGATCGGAGTCTTTGAGGAATAAAGCAAGAGACGACATCCACGATGAAGGCAGGGCGTAGTACTGGAAGATATAACGGAAGGTACGCGTCTGCTTAGGTATTTACTTGTGTGTCTTGTACACATCCTCGTCGCGTCGTTCGCAGAAATGTAAACAGTGGCATATTTGGACTGTTCAATACCTTGCTCGCATATTATACGTGTCTTATTAATATCGGCTTGTCCGGAGAGTTTGTTTCGACTTTTAAGAAAAATTC